GGCCAAACAACCTATATCAAATGCTTAGGTTTTACATAGGGTAATGACATTTAATCGTCCTTAAGTACTGTGTCTAAGTAATACCTAGTTTAAGCTTGCCTCAATTCACAATGCTCCATGTATTATGTGGTGCAAAATCCTCAGTAGTATTAAAATAAACATAATGGTTAGCGTAAAACCTTTATAGATCTCGATCTTCTCAAAATGTTCACTATTAAAATGTGTACACTATTCAAGTATATTTTGAAGCTTTACCTACTACTTTATCACAATCCTACTAGTATTTTGAAACAACTCTAAAATGTTCCACTCGATCAGTATCTAATTTCTTTTCACTTTCTCACCAGTTACAAAACAAGGAAGTGATCCGAGGATGTGAAAGTGAGCCAGTGAGAGGTCGTATTTTCACACACGTTCAATAGGAACGGATCGCATTGGAGGATCACATACGACGGACTGTGTTTTACACTGCCTCCCATCTGCACGCTGCAGGTCTGGATTTCAGTCTCAGCGTGAACCAGTCTCACAATGACGGGGGGCGGCGCCCCTCTGGGCTCTGTGGGGTGTCGAACCCCCAACCCTAACCCAACCTGGACCATGTGTCGGCGCTACACACACTGATGGATTACTGACTAGCCTAATGATTGTTACGTGTTCTTAAACCTATTTAGGTAGTCTTTTGTTTCATTAAGTTATTTTAATTATTTTGTTGACCTAATTATGGATAAAATAATTATTTTAATATTAATCAGACTCGCCTTCTATTTATGATTTTTTTGAGTCTGAGTTAAATCAGAAGTCATAGTCAACACAAAACGCTGTGCTTAATTAATTCTGAACTGATGCTTTTACTACTACCTCCTCATGTTTCGATAAACGTTTATCCGAAACCGAACGGTGTTCTGTGGCTTATGGATTTTCGAACTAGAAAGATTTTTTTTATTCTGATTCATTTACGGTAACTTATATCCTTTGGTGTGAAAATGACCAGTTATTTGCATCAAGGAAACTGTTTTACCAGTTAGTTAGCTGCAAGCAATGTACTTGCTTGGTACAACACAATGGTGAAGGAATATTTATGATAAACGTTTCTGGGAGAAATATTTCGATGAATTTGTTTTGTGCCTAACTTAAATGTATTCCAACCCACAGTCAAGTTTTTAAAATATGTAATATGTGTTTTACATTATTAAAAATGTTTTACGCCATCAATTCTTATTCAGGTTAAAATATGAAGCACTTGTCGTGTAGTTATAAAACATAGTAATGTTTAAAAAAACTTATGAGTAAAGGGATTAATTTTCAATATAGTCATACATTATATCAGTGTAACCATAGCTCAAGATAGAAGTCAGTTACAAAGGTTTATTTATGAGAACATATTACCATTATATATTTAGAGAATCTCAAAAACGACGTTTTAGATCTTCTCTAAAATATTACGTTATAGCATAGTCTCCATATAAATAACCAGCCATCTTCGAAACGACCCTTATGAAAAACGAGTCTACTACTTTTCTTATTATTCCGACGATATTATTTAAAGACCAAACGAGATAAAGAGAGAAAACAAAGAGTTGTTGAGAAGACGATAAATAAGTTGGTTTGTGGCCAATGAAGCGTCGCCGGGCAGAAAACAAAATGTCGATATCACATGTTTACGGTCTACAAACTGACCAAGTCTCGTCGTGTTACGAGCAACTGTATCTTCTTTGCGTAGCTATTTTACTGATGCTTTTAGTAAAATTAATGAATTAACAAATAACATGTATTCAAGAATACTTTTAGTATCATCCTACATTACGCACCATGTGCCAGTAATTAGTACATGGATTTAATGATACTTTTTCTTATCCAGTAATCTTTGGTTTTGGGTAAGTAATGCCATATCTGATTAATTTGAACCACAAAAAGTCAAGGGGAGCTTCATAAAACACCATAAGCTGACAAAAATTAGATAATAGGTTAGTTTTGCTGAATTATCGAGATTCAATTCTAATTAATTATTTCTTTAGGTAAACGATACTATTCTAGTTTGTTATACGTTCTAATGTGGTCATATGAGTGAATTATTTTATTATTTCATCGACTGACAGGAAATTAAAAATCGTATGAATGTATATTTGGGCCCTATATCAAATTAATAGTGCAAATCTTGATTCCATTTCATATTCAATATAGCTTAAAATTATGATAGAGTTTATGTAACAATGTCACTAGAGAAAATTTGGTAATAACTTGGTCAAAACCACCTTCACCAGTTGTAATGCTATACAGTCAAGCATTATGATCATTCCTACAAAGATCCACCAAGGCATAAAACTACTCCACACACTGTTCGCCAATCGTTCCAATCTGTCTATCCAATTAGACTTACACCCGAGATGTTATCTTTCTTACAACCTTCGTTAAAATTCAACCGAGCCAACATAACCCTCCGAGGATCCGACGGCGATACCATCGACCACGGAAGGCTTTCTGCTTTCCCATAAACCTCTGAAATGAGTCGGTGGGAGATTCTTTACCCTTGTTTTTGTGGGATAAAATCGGCTGCCATCAGCACATCGCGGGCCTGATATATGCGGCGTTCGGCGTCAGAAAATAAGTCCCAAATTAGTGCAGCCCATTTGACTAGATCTTTGTCTCTGGCGGGAACAAAGAGGGGAGTGCTGCAGATGTTTTTTACCGTCCAATGATATCTGTCACCACTCCAAAGTCGTTATTTCTGCCCCGCTCCCGGCGTCTCTCAGGTAGAAAGGCCCGAAATTCGGTCAGTGGAGGGAAGGTTCCAAATAACACATCATTATGATAAACCACCAGTCGCGCAATTTTCCTTTCCCAAAATTTTGGGTCGTTACGTATGTAGAAGTTTTTTTCGGTTTGGGTATCGTAATAGTAGGGGACAACGTATCAAAAGACAAAGGTTTTTGGCGCCTGCGTTGATTCTAGTAATAAAACTTCAGTTGATGTTTCTCATTAGTATAACCTAAGATCAAAAGGTCTGCGTCTCGACCTTCTCATTGTGTCTGAGACAAACGTTTTCTGCTCTTTGTCCACTTTCAGCTTCTCATCTCTGTAAGCTGTCGGGATTCAACATTTGCTTCTAACCTATTCAGCCTCCCATCGACAGTAATACGAAGAGTACTTTCTATTTTACTACCACTCAATAAAGACGTAAGACGTTTATCAAGAAAATACTTGTGTACTTCAATTTACTTTAACATCTGCCTATCCTGAATACTAAATAAGCGAAGCCATCGCAGTAGAAACATAAACTTGAGGTAAGCAAGCCTCACCTCCAACTGCCTATGGTTTTATCATGCATAACCGATGCAGTACCAATAAACTGTTCCGTCGGTTGCAATGCTTGACGCAACTCCACATGGCCAAACTGCGCTCTCTCCGTCAGTTTCGCAATTACAAACCTAAAATTACGCGTAATAACACAGTTTCCAAGACGGCGTTCGGAGTTATGAATCCCGCTCGAGGCTAATTATACCATTCCGCTCTGAGCTATTTGGATATAAATTTTAGATCGATTTATCCGTTCAGAACATCGGCTGTGATTGCCCACATGTTAGCAGAATCCGACCGTATTTCACGTAAAGGTATGTGTATACTTTCCAATCGGTGGGAAGCTTTAATGGCACTTGTATTTATAGGCGAAGTGTCCCCGTTCGCAGCAAGTGCGTTTGCGTTTTCTCGGTGTGAACTTATGCGATTACGAAGCAGATAAAGACGAGTGACGAAAGCGTTATCGTCGTCATCTGCAGTCCCGGGTACGAGTGGCTAAATTGAACGCCACATATGGCCTGTTGATTAGCTGCAAAAAGTGATGAAGCGGTTTCGAAATGTTGTGGCTTCCGGCGATCGCAGATTGGGGCGATTTGTCTTTGTGGGTTGTGCAAGATTTGTCGTGAAAAATTGCAGGTAAAGGTCAACTTTTACGTGTTAATGTCGTGCGATTGTCAGAAGTGATCAAGTATTGTTTCAATTTGTATGATTGATTTGGTGTGAAAGACCATGTAACAACATGCAATTTGGTCAGTCAAAAAATATTTCGCTTACGATCAATGTTATTGAGTTGATCTTCATCAAAACTCTGCTTGGAAAATGTGTACTTAAAATTGGTCTCTGTTGTGTGTCTCTGTTGTTCGACGGAACTTAATCAATCAGTCTATCATAGTTTATCATAGTTTATTCATCGCGGATATCCAGTCGTTAGCATGTCTACACTTCTCGGAAGCGGTGCAGTGGACGGAGTTTGGACGTCGGATGTGTCAAACATATCCGAAACACGTGATGAATATGCATACTCTTAGATCGCAGCTCATTATTTTCAACCAGATTTAAAGAGTTATTTATAACTAACTATAATTTATTTGAAGTACGATAAAATAATACAAACACGATAGACAACAAACTACAACAAAATTAATTAGTTTGTTAAAATTTGCTTTCGCATTTATTTTGTCCATAGGTGGTAACATTACAAAATAATCTTAAGTACTGAAGAATAGAAACGTTTCAACATTTTCTTAAACAACGCAACTAAATCAACCCCGTTAACTTAAACAGTGTTTTTCAGCGTTACCTACAGTCTTTTCTTCGGACAGTCCACTATAAATTTAAAGTGTGGGTAAATAATATTCATCAAAACACATCATCATGTAGCTAACTTAGTGTTTCAATATCCTATTAGTAATCGTTGATACTGTTGGAGTATGGTATATCACTTATTCTTAGTTTTCAGGATTCTGAACAATCGGAAATCTTCTTTCTTGAAACGATGCTCCTCATACTTCTAAAGCCAAGAGACTGTTCACGTTATAAATAAAATATGATAATTTCTTAAGGCTTGAAATGTGTTTAATACATTAACCCCCTAATTTCCATTACTTTCAGCCTAGAACAATACTTATGCACGTGTTTAGCCCTCCTGCCTTACATGTGTTTTCTTATCTCATCCACTTGTTACTTACACACATGTATTGTTTCAGACGTGTCAGTGCCGGTCGCGAGTGCAGTGAGTCTTATCAGTGACCACCCTCCCTTATCAGCAGCTCTGACCGCCCCATGAGGTCACATGGCGCCCCGGTTTCTCTACATTTTGTTGCTCCTTTCCACCGCTTCCGCCCTACAAGGTACGTAAATCACTAGACTGCTTCACTCGCACGCCCAATAAACCTCTACGGACAGTTGGGCTTCTTTTCATCTTTTCTCTAAGTTTACAGCAGTTAGTTCCGACTGTAAACTCTCTTTGTGTGTCGAACGGCTCAGAATAGCTGTTGGAATCTTAATTAGTCATTTGTTTGCTGCGGTTTCTTTGGTGAATGTTATTGACGTGTATGGGTGTTAAGTAGCTAGTTATGTAGTGTCAGGTTTTGTTTCAGGGATTTGATTCAGGGTGTTACAAAAACTGTGTTAGATTAAATTAACTTAACATTTACACTATTGAGCACTCGTATTTGATGATTCGTCCACTTTTTTAAGCGTTATGTTCTTCGTATATAGGATTGTAATTCGTCACAAATTTTTTTTATTAATCAACATCTAACATTTAGTCTGTGTTTAGTCAATTTTTTTTAAACAAGGAGCACCATTGTTTTACGTATTAATTATTTTGCTATGTAAATTAAAAATATCTTTAAAAAATAATTAATCTTTAATCATTAATATATTGGCTAATAATTCAAATTAAACTAACGTGCGTTCTTTAATTTTTAGGCCGTAGGGCAGATGTCTTATTCAATTCCAAAACACTTTTGGCACATTTCTAAAAATTAATATACCTATAAGGAAGAGTTCATTAAAATGCCAATCCAATCCATTCTTTGTCTCAGAAATCAGTTTACTAAAATTTCCATTTGCTTTTATTAGGTAAATCAGAAAGTTTCACTTATATGTGTACGATTTATTCAGAAATCATTCTTGATTTGAAAAGTAACAAAAAATTCTCATCAAATAGTATCATCAAAGTCAATTCCCGCAACATTTGTGTTGTTAGTAGTTGTGCACATACCTTGCTTGACATATGTACCTGATTAAGAACTCTCATGTTGTGCATTTGTTACATTTACTGTACACACACGACACTTGGTCGCGTGTGGAAAGGAATGTGAGTATCTGGAGTAATTTGCATACTGACTTAGACACAGTCTAGAATTGTATTGCTATCTCACATCCAATATTAGCATTGAGATTAATCTTTTATTTCAAAAAACATAATAGTCGTTTGAATTTTGTTTTTATTTGTTGTATTTGTACACAAATCTTCAACCAATTCAGCTCTTTGTTCGCTTCTAATTCTAGCTAATCATCATAAATATGCTGGCTATGACCAGTAGTAACTTCACAAACTACCTGTGTTACTTTACAAGCACAATTTACATTGTCCTACTACTGCATGGGAATGATCATATTTCCACACCTGTAAAGAGTACTCAAAATAACTCATTTCTGCTCTAGAGTGGGAATCAGTTGATTTTGCAGTCGGTGTTTCTATAAACAATAGGCAATCCCTAAACAAATAACATAACATATACAAAGCAAACATAACCTAAATAAAATATTATATTCAAATAAAAAGTTCTTTGTGTTATGATGAGTTAATTATGGTGGTAGGAATACCACGTTGTATGCACGTCCAGTACGAGCACGGTCATTGCCGCTCTCGAAATGTATGACCCGATGATCGCTCTTCGCTTCAAAGCTTCTTGTGACCATTTACAGTTCTCGAGCGGCAATGACGCACTTTGCGCTCTTAATACATAAATGTAATTTTCTCCTCCATTTGAGTAATTTAATTTTTACTTTCCTGAGAAGGATCTAAGTTACAGCATTCATAACTACAATAATACAACACTGTAGTTTTGGTTGATAAGAAAGGAGAATTTTATTTCAAGCTTTTAACTGTTATTACTTGTCGAAATATAGATTGTCATTGTTCGATATATCGCACCGGTACATATCGATACCGATAGTGGCGTGTCTAGCTGTGACTCATTTCCATACCGTGTTGATTACCATGTTACACATGTACTTCACATTGGTGTGATACACGGTCACTAGACACGAAATTGTGTGTGTTCGTGTTCGACTCTCCGGTCGTCTGTTTATTTGAGCGTGTTTGTACGTGGTCAGTGACTAAATCAGTGTGTGGAGGATTATATTTGTTCTGACTATGATCATTCAATATTAAACCCATGTATCCAAAATTGCCATATGTTTAGCGGAAACTGTTACATTTTGTATATTTTACAACGATACTTTAGGTGGCGAAGTGGTTGAAAAACCTATAAAGTTTGATTTCTAGTTTCGCATGGATAAATAATGTAAATTTCATTAATTAACGCAGAAAATTTTGTGATTTCCTTTTATAAATATTGGTTTTATCATACGAAAGGAAAGAAGTGTCACACGTAGTAGGCCTAGATTGTAAATAAAAACTGTTTGACAAAAACCCAAAATTTATACTAGAGTTTGACTTCTCCAGTTTTAATATTGCAATAGTTGTTGTTATTAGCCCATACATCACCATCTATTGATGACCATATATGCTTGCTGAATACTTATTTCAAATTAAACCATCATAGGTGCTGTTTTTTTATTTGTAAAAATATATCAATGAAAGTGTTAACTCATCGATAGTATGTTAAAACATCTTAGCATGACAAAATAGTAAGACTGTACAACATGATGTCGTACTGTAGCAATAGATTAAGAGTTCCATCTTCCGAACAAGAACCAGGCCACAGCGAGGGTTCCCCAGGGGCTAAGACAGAGCTCTGTATATCATGGAATGGAATTGTAAAGCAATGCTCCTTGTCTCATAAATTTGGACCTGAATAAATCCAGGCTTAGGCGAGACCAATTAAACCGAAATGGAGGAAACAGATGCTCATGCATAAACATGCAACCACCACTGCTAATTAATTTATTTGCTTGTATATTTTTCCGTCGGAATTTAAATGACCGTAACGAACGAATGTACATAGTAAACAGCCATTGAACATGTGTAGTAGTTTTTCTTCTGGCGAGATTCTTTGTTGTGTTTTATTTGGACTCGTGAGAAGGAGGCACAGCTCATTAATATTGATATTTGGGACGTTTATAACGTGTTTAGCTAATCACAGCCTACTGATTAGTTATAGTACAGTGAAGACTATACTTAATGAACTGTGTAATAAAGAACAATGCAATTCAACATTTTTGGAATGTATACGTGAGAAATAAATCACTATTTTACCTTAACGTTAATTTTTGTATCACCTAATAAAACTAAAGGGTCAAACGAAAAGTATTCAACCAATAACATAATTAATAACAGTAACAGGTGTTCTGCAAACCCATACGCACGTGGACATTACTGGCTGAGGATTTATACGGTACGGTACCTGATGCTACAAAGCTGGGGGAACAACGTTTCCTTGAGAGTAAAATTGTCTGCTACCTAACTCTATGGACTATAATGTTTTCTGTTTGAAATACAGAATAGCTCTTAGCTTATTTGAGAACGATAACCACAGGTTATCTTAATCCTTTAACCTAAATCAATAAATAACACCACACATAAACAATGTGTTGTTGCATGGCGAGCATTTTTGTAATATTTGACGACAAAGAATATTGTGTTATTACCGACACGATTAAACTGTTTATAAGCTATTTAAATCAAATACGCTTAGCCTATGTACAGTTTAATACTAGATTCACTTCTTACTATCTGTAATAAAGTTTTCATCAAGAAATTACTATAGTGAGGCGATATTTGTACGGATCATCTTCACAACTAAGACCTATCAAGATTTAATGTAAGATCAACTATCAAAATAGGGATAGAAATTTAAAATTACAATCAAGATGTTTAAGAAGTACTTTATTACAGAATCTCATTTAAACTGATTCATGTCTCTATTTAGTTGGTTCATAAATAAGCTCTGTGCTTTGGCGAAATGTTATTTGTCCTTACATTCATCCCTTTATGAAAACAAATAAAAGGGAATTCGCACTTTACTGAGGCAGTAATAGAATAGACGGATTTTTTATTGGACAGTAAATTTTGTTGTGCTCCAATGTGAGTCTTACTGTTGCAAAGGAACATTAGAATAACAAATAACGGTTATATTCAGTCCGACTGTCGTCAGGATAAAGTAGTAAAAATGTTGTTCAAAAGATGACTTGGTGGATTGTAAAGAAATTATTATGTTACATTCTAAGTACTTCGTGAAATCTGAATTAGGCCTTTGGACAATAAGTGCGGTTTTAAGTGCCTTCAACATTAAAGAAAACTTTTGAATGGGCACCGTTAAAAAAATCCATCACAATGAAAATTATCTGCAATACTACTTCGCCCTTCACTACTCTAACTGTTTGAACGTATCCTGTAATGTTTACAATCATTTAATTACAGGTTAACGGTATTACTATGTCTATTGATTTCAACAAGTCATTTAGTTCTTTATCAGGGCTAATTGGAGACTTCTTCTATATTATTCATAAAATAACAGTTTGAACTTACCTTTATCAATTCAATTTGCTTGATTAAATAAGTCATTCATAGATGAGATCCGTGTAGCCTAACTAATCTAAGGTAATCTTGTAATTATTTACACACTTATTGTAATGCATATAGTACAAACTTGTGGTTTTACTGAAGCAATCCGAAGGTTTACACATGGTACTCTCGACTCTAGGACATAACACATGTAGCTACGCCCAGCTTATGCAGGGTTAAGTAGCGATGGGGATGGGGTAGAGTATATTTATGTTTTGGTAACCCTCAGAAAGCCCCCGTCTTGTGTTGTAGGCAGTGTATTTATATCTCTTGTTTCAAGTACCTTGTATCTCATGACATGCGGGAGGTTTAAACCTTACAAAGAAGGTGAAACCGTTATTTTGCTTGCTTGATTATTTACTTTGCTTTTTATGTGTTATGACTTCTTGACAACCAATCTACTTGTTGAAATTATACGGATTAGGTAAGACACGTCTTCAAAAACTAATACAAGTGTTCGCACATATAATGCAATAATTTTCAAATTTGTAAATACTGTATATTTTTATTGGTGAAAATGAATATTGTATTCGACCTGTTGCGTCCATCATCATCAAGCCCAACCAGAGGTGGCTACGCTACATGAGCCCAATACGAATAATCTTATAAGACGTATTGTTTCTTATTTGTGTTGATAATGTAGACTACGAGTCGATTCTTTTTCTCAAGAGTAGGCACAAGTAGACACAGTAAATTTAAGCTCTTGTCGAATACATTGATTGTTAAATAAAATATTCTCTTTAATGGTAATATTTAAAATAGAAAGCTGTTAACAACATGCCTCCATTTTCCGAATATGATACTTAGGCGTTTTTGAGGGTGAGAAACCAGTTCGGGTTTCAAGTAACCTTTGCATACCATTTCTATACTGTATTGATCTACACCAGAACCTTGTAAAACACATGTTTAGCTGTAAATCCAACAAATATCCGCACTTAGTTACGTAAAATAAACACGAACTAGTCAACATTTATACAATTCTGTTGTAAGCCATCACTCGCACTTATTATAGCCTAAAACCTATTAAAATCCCTAGCACATACATCACTATAAGAAAGCATCCACAGAGCAATTGACTTCTCAAACTCTAGCTAGAGTACCTTATTAGAAAGATCAATGATGGAAATAAACCCTGACTGTTTTGACATTACCTTTGCTTTATAGCTCAATAAAAGAATCTCTTACGGAAAGCTGTACGCGAGCACGCTATGATAGCATAACCTTTATGCCTCGCTCGCAAACGGTATTATTTATGAGTGAATCAAACACGCGTCACGAATACAAACGTGGAGGAAATAATACACTCGCTCGGTCTGAGAGGCCCTAAAGCCTAAGGGTTCACAGGAAATGTGTCTGTTATCAAAGTAACTTCTATTGGCAATTTACGGCAAAATGTTCTCCGCTTATGTGAAAGCGGCGTTTGAAATCCTTCGTTTTATTGAAACCATTTGTTGTGTATGTATACTCCGTCCGATATGAAATAGGACTGTAAACTTCGGAGTGGTTGTTTTTGTGATAATAATCCACAGTAGTAAACAAAAAGAACCCTACGATTATTTTTGTGGTATTGTTAATCTACGTTACCTGAAAATACGGAAGTTCATAACTGAATATTGTCAAACGTAAAATCCGACAGTATAGTACAGATTTATTATGAAAAATGTCATTTTATTTTAAATTTTAGATCACTTAATTTGTAATCCAATCCAATCGATTGATCCCCCAAATGATCTTTAATTTTCAGGTCTTCTGGTTTAGTGAACATATTAGGTTATTTTCCCAAAATTCAAACTATAATAATTCAACTATCAGTTGAATTCTCTTCACTTAATTTGGCCATTCAGTGAAAGTATTTATACTGTATGATGTGCAAGTAAGACAGATACATTCATCTTAAAACACATTTATTCTAATGATCTTTTTCTTCTTCCAGGGGATGACGAGGGTGAGGATGAAGGAGAAGACGCAGAGGAAGGAGACATCCTGGACTCCCACCCGGGAGTTCCCGGGGGATCCGAACACACAGTGCCTCTCCCGGTCTTCCTGAAGGAACCTACGGATACATACGTGATCAAGAACAAACCCGCGACCCTCTCCTGCCTCGCCGCGCACGCTCTGCAGATCTACTTCCAGTGTAACGGGGAGCGGATGGAGCGTATCTCCGGGGAGTTGCATCCTCACATGGAGTTCGTGGACCCTCAGACTGGAGTCAGGAACGTGGAGTTGTCTGTGAATGTGACCAGGGACGACGTGGAGGAATACTTCGGTACTGAGAGCTTCAGGTGTGAGTGTGTGGCTTGGAACTCCCGCGGACAGATCAAGAGTCAACCTGCCATCGTTGACGTGGCTTGTAAGTAATGATCGTGTTTAGCAATAAAATGTCTTTAAAAAATGTAATTACCATTTAATGTAAGTTATGGGATGGATAAGGATTGATATTTTATTTAAGGATTACATTACATTTGGTACAATTTAGGCAATTTTCATTAATATTCCTGATGAAGGCGAGCACATAGTATCATAGAATGCTACATTTGTTAGTATCGAAACACCTTTAGTGTTCTGGTAAATATAACTCTGTAATAGTTAGTTAGGAGTGCTTTTTGAACAATAATACAATGTTTTCGATGAACAAATACTTGAGAAATCTTTGTTACAACGATGCTAACAAAAATGTATATAATTATTTTGTTGTAGGCCTATTTATACAATGAACAGTTAAGTTTCTTTAGTTGTTTTCAAAGGAAGACAGAGCTTGGTATTCTCATAAAAAAATTATCTCCATTGCCTACATTTGGCAATGTTAACATGCAATTTAATGGATATACCCTAAGTGAAACTGTTAGGATTGTTGAGGACAGTCAGTATCCTTAACAGCCACAAATTCTAAATACATAGAAATTTTACTTAACCGTGTATGTGATCATAAAATATATATTTTTTAGCAATGCTTGTTTTAAACCAAACGAAACATGCGAATAGGATATTAGGCGGCTGGTGCTCTGGGCTGAGCTAGGCCTACTACCAGTGTTCTGGGACTCCGTGCCTGCGTTACGTAAATCCCATAGGTGTATGGTAATGTTGTCGAAACGTACGTACGTCTAAATCATTCAATGGACATCCTCATACGTCCAGTCTACAAAGGCCTACATTGGCTATCGTTTTGAATGAATACGGTGATCATTTTTAGGTGATATATGCGTGTATTTCTTTTCTTTCAGAAAAAAATATTTGAAATTTCAGCAAATATACTTGTTTCTAAAAACAGTTAAATTCTGTGATTGATAAATTATATTAATTATCATTGAATCAATATATTATCGAAATATATTTAAATAATTGAAATTTTAAATATGTCTGTCTCCAATACTATACATCACTAACCATAACATCATATTTTAATAAGATTCGTCACATTGTGTGTCATATAATAAAAAATCCTGTGATAAAAACCGATCATAAATCCCCCTTAACGGTATTCCCAAACGAATCGGAGAGTGTAAAATGATTGCCAGATTAATTTAATTTCGTCACAATTACCTTTAAGATCACAGAGAAACTTGGATCAATCGCCACTTTAAGTCTCGTTAAGGATATTTTCCAATATTGCCAATTAAAACACTTGAAGAGGCGGAAAGTATAAATTGTGTTGTGAAAGTAAAATGTTCTAAACGCGAACTAATTGGCGCCGAGCGGTCTGGAGTATGAATACTGGATGAGGTTGTCCGCATACCTGGACCGTCGACTTTATTTCTCCGATAATAGATTCCAAATTTACATTCCAAAGGTCAAACTGTCATTTGCACATAGGATGCCGACGATTCCGATTTTTATCGCGTTATAAAACTTAAAGGAAAGATTATTCCGCGTGCAATGTTTAGTGATTTACTCTGTAGAGGTGATGTCAGGGCTGTGAAGGTGGCTGGGCTGTTTTATAAATGTGCATTTTTCTTTTATTTTCTACCACTTTACATAGTATAGAAAAAGTATTGTGCTTGTCAAAATTTCATAGTTTGACTTTTATTGGTAAATTTCCGTTTGGACAGAGGAGGGGCCTCCGGGCGTACCCAAAATTATGTATTTTTACCTCCAGAAATTTTTTATTTCATTTTGAATTTTAATGGCGATTTTTTCTCGAATCCCATATAATAACAGAAATACAGAATTTTCAAAAACGATCGCTCCAACGATTTTGATCAAAATTTGTTATTCTATAGACAAAACTAGTACAGTTTTTGCATCACGTTTATTGTATAATTTTGTTTACAGTTCAAAGAACTGTAGTTCTTTCAACTGTAAACAAAATGATACAACATCCAAAGCTGTAAAAATTACGGTTCAAGAAGTATTGCAATTTTTTTGATGTTTTCCATTAATTATCATAGTTGCAAAAAGGAGTTTTGACAATCTTATGGGAAAAGTACGTGTCAGTTTGCTGATACTTTTCATTAATTATGAATTATGCTAGTGATTCTATGATGAATTCCTAAGGTTATTACGGAGATCTAAGTTTCTAAGATTCTAAGTTTCATGAAATTAAAAAAGTAATACCAAACTACAATCAACTTTTTGAAAAATCCAACATATAAAAGATTAGTACTATGTACTCTTCAGATCTGAACAACTACAATCAACTGTTATAACACCGTGTTAATCGGTTAAAGACTGTTTATCTCTTTGAAGTATCATAATGTGTAATAATCAAATTTTAGAACCATTGAAATCTGTATTATACGTTGTTAAAGTGGACAAAACTTTGTCATAAAACTTACTTAATGTTCATTGAGGAGACTGTTTTAAAACCTTAAAATTACATTTTCGTTAATGTCCCAAAAAGATTTCGATTATTAAAAAAAATCACACAAATACCAGAAATAGGGCCAATAAATCAAATTATTCCACAATAATACAGCGTTATGCAGCAAATAAAACTGTGACTACAAGGGCCGCGGAAATGTCGTAGCCATAAAGTGATACGATTGTAACCTTTGTTTATTTATAGAGACACGATGCGAGTGGGTGAGATCGCTCGTAAAGTCGCCCGCCTCGACATTTCTTGTCTACTCCAGAAATATAGCGCATTAAAGTGGCAACCGGCACGCACGACGTGGTTACCGATTTTCGCCTCAACTCGAGCGAATTTCTCGTTTATTCCATGCGAAAATCGTATATCTCGAGGAGGAGGAGGGTCCGTGTTATTGTCCTCACTCGATTGAGCCGGAGTTATGATTTGTTTCACCCTCGGTTTTTAGTATTTATTTCAGGGATGCATTGTTTCGGGTATCTCGTAATTGAGTAACATTTTTGTTCCCCGTTTTTCGATTTCGGGTTTAATTGTATTTTAAATTAAGTGTACTGTATTGAATTTTTTTTGGAAATGCTGTGTACTAAGAAAACTTTCGCCAACGTTTTAAGACAGCGTGTTTCCTTGTTTTGAGTACGTCACAGAATATATTATCTACTCGCCTTTGGCTCAGGCCCCCTTTTTTGGTTGGGGGTAAATACAAATAGGCCATGGCGCAAGACCTACAATCGTGCCAAATTTCAGATATCCAGTTAATCTAGAAATGGGTAAACGTGATTTAGACTTATACACCTGTAAGAATAACATTGGGGGGGGGGGGGAGGATTTAATATTTCGGGGGGGGGGGGGTTGTAAATATTACCCTTAACTTAGGATCCCATACTACAATACTACCAAATTACAAGTCTCTAGCACGTTTCTAAACAATTCAGATGACCATAACAAAGTCATCAAATTTCAATGTTATTCTCCATAAGAATAACATGGGGCTCTTAAAAACTTTCAATTTTACAGCGAGATGACACTATTAAATTATCAATATAAATATACGAATAGCGTTTTTCCTCCTTGAAAATGAATTCTTTACTGAGATAACTGAAAGATGTAAGAAATACGGCCCATATATCGTGAACACATTCTAAATGACATAGCTTGATACATCTTTTCTAATCACATACAGCCGAACATTTAGTAAAAATGTCACCTTAAGTTGATCTCCCTTTTTGTATCAAGATCATGACTTTTATATTTGTAATTTAAACTCCTTACTTCAGAGTGTCTCACGTGTAATACCTCAAACTCGATTCCATAACAACACGATCCTCTTACCCGAGCACCAACAAACGACGAATCCCCACACGACTCATAAACAATGTGTTCCAAAGTTCTCTCCGTGATTAAGCAAGCAGGGACCAGCGAGTGATACGTTCAGTGTTTACCCAGGGCTGGGCCATTATTTGTTGATTATTGTTCTACAGTAAAGTAATTTGTACGAGACTCCAAGGCGGCTTGTAAGGCGTGGTGGAACAATGCAGGTTTAAACACCATGTTTATGTTGGTTAAATTGGAAATGCGATTGTGTTAACGAACCGCCCTCCTCGCCAGACGTTAAATTGTGTATAACTCATCCCTGAACTGTTTGAGGGAGGGCCGCAACCCACAATTGATATTAAGTAGGAATTCCTATTCTGATAATTGGGTAAATCGACTGGAGCAACATAAAGTAATTAAGAGGGAGGGTGGTTGTAATTTATGCAAGTGTTCGGCTGTTGGGGGAGTGATGGAGACGATTCCTGACTTAGTTGAACCCATTTCTTTAATCGATTCATGTTTCAGTGTCGTACGTTTTATTCAAATCTTTTATTCGTCTTTTTCAACCATGAAACCTTTGTTCTTCCTTTTTTTGGTCAGGTTTGACCCTCTTAAAACTCCTAAGACGTCACTCATGAACGTTTTTTATCCTGGCGTTGAAGAGCATATCAAGAGTTAGAAGTTTGTGAATCGTCGTCGTAGAACTCTCACATAGCAATATTTTGACGTGCCGAAAACCTCTATTGCAAAAATAAGTTTTGTTGATAGTATCCGATTTTTAAATTTTCTCTGTGTTGTTGGTCCATTTGGAATTTGAAAAAACTACTTTGAAATTATTCAGCCTACCCATTAGCATAACCGGACCCGCTGATTGTCTTTCACCTCACGTGCCATTGATTGGCCAAACATCGATAACACGTGTCATCACCAAGATTTAAAACAATTAAACCTCTAATAACAGAGAACATCTTTCCTCCGTGGGAATACAAACCCTAATGCCTAACCTTACATGGTAATAAGCGTTATTAAATATTTAATGTGCACTTCAGGACCATCCAATTCAAAGCACGTTCGACTACGAACGTCAGGGTTTGGTATAATGGGTAGCGTTTGGAGTCGAATTTACTCATCTTCAATTATAGGTAGCCGATTTCTAAACGCCTCAGGCACCTGAACAAAGAAAGAAAGGTGGCTGTAGGCAATAATTTGCATATTAATACCGGCCGAAACCTTCATTTGTGCGGGTCGCTCTATTTCATGGTGTTGGGTACTTTCTACCAGTGTCTTCTGTTTACAATTTGTAATTGTTGGGTATTGAAAAGTAGATTGTGGTGTGAAGGTTAATTTTACGTCTCAATAAGATAGGTCTCTGCATTTGGATGTGTTGTAGTTTTGGATTTCCTCATGACTTAAACTTGACTCTTTCCTCGAAATGTATTTAGGTCTGAATTGCGGGAGAAAACTACTTTGAAATGTGTTATTTATTTTAGTGATCATCTTGGTATGAGAAAACAGATTAGTGATTAATAGGTTTAAAAAAAATTCATGCTCCGAAATAAGTTTGTTACTGTATTTCCAAACAAAACGTTAACTTGTATCTAAGGTACTTATGGCCATTTAACCATTTCGTGTAAACTATATTTATTCACCGTCATTGTAGGTGTTCCTCGTGACTATGATTTTGATATCTAGTGAACTTATCTACTCAATCCAAAGTCTTGTAGCCTTTCAGATGACAATCCTGACGTTGTTATCTAGATTTCCTTAGATAAACGTTGACGATTTCAAAGCCTCTTCTGGCAGAAGATCATGAGCAATACTCCATTAAGTCTTAGTAGTCTAGAATCATAGAACGATAGAGAGACCACGAGATTGGAAGCAAAATTAGCCTTCCTTACTCAAGAGAAAGACAGACTGTTCTTTTCCTTGAGGAAAATGTGCCAATAATAGTTTTTGGCCATCTTTTTCTTACCTTTTTTTTACCGAGACTTCCTAACTGATAACTGTTCAAACAATTAACGGATTTAACATAAGGCTATCTATGTTAGGTGTTATACATTGGTGGAATACATTGATTACAACCTTTCAGCAGTCGTTCATATTTTGTTCCAGATCTAAAGAAGCACTTCGAGGTTCCGCCATACTCTCAGACCGTGGAGATGGACCACCAGGCGGAGCTGAGGTGCCACGCGCCTCCGGGAGTGCCACCACCACAGATCTACTGGCTGAGGAACGGTCTGCCTCTGGAGACCGACACTAACGTGATCGTCAGTAGTGAGGGTCACTTGCTCATCAGTCAGGCGCGGCTCCAGGACACGGCCAACTACACCTGTGTTGCTGAGAACATCGCCGCCAAGCGTATCTCAGACCCCGCGCTGCTCACTGTCTATGGTAAGCCAAGTGATATGTACCTAGCTATACCTAACGTGATCGTCAGTAGTGAGGGTAACTTGCTCATCAGTCAGGCGCGGCTCCAGGACACGGCCAACTACACCTGTGTTGCTGAGAACATCGCCGCCAAGCGTATCTCAGACCCCGCGCTGCTCACTGTCTATGGTAAGTGATGTGGGTGGCAAAGGATCAATAAGAAGAGCTACTGATAGGGAGTTTAGAAGAGTAATTGGTAGCCTTACAACCGGCTATCTATTACTCCGGACGAGCCTTTAGTTCAACAAAATTACTTCTAAAATGTAAAGGCAACACATGGAAAAGTAATTTTTAAGAGATTGGTGGCCTCTTTTATTGGGCCAAACTTGTTTCATCTAGACCAGCCTCAGAGGCCCAACAAATCAAGTAAGGCAAGTCGTGGACCAGTAAAGTTCTTGAATGAACTGTGCAGATAAATATTATGTGGTGTTACCGGGAAGTGGGCCGAAGCATCTCTTCCATTATTCCTGATTCATTCACGTGCAACATTTACAACAACTATGTGCAACATTTTTTACGAATTTAGCGTTTCCTCCACCAGTCAATAGTGAAGGTCGTGGCTGTGATGTGGAGGTGAGCGGTCATCGGCCGATTGAAGCCTCCGCTTCGTCCGCTCTATTGTCGGTGAAGGCTAAGTGTCGTTGAACTCTTTCTCTCTTTCCTGCAACACCTTTTAGTTTACAATCAATGCGTATTGTGTCAATGTTCCTCTTACATTCTGCAATCTGTGGTCTTAATAGCAACTTAATAGAATGGCCTTAATCATCTGAATATCTATGCAATTAAATGGTATGGTTTATTTATGTTATTTGCTATGGATTATCGTACTAAAATCCCAATGGCCATTCTACTATTACATTTTTTAAGTGGTTTTCCAACAAAGTTATATACGATACATATTTCTCACATAGTATTGCCCGTATTATGGATATAATACCAATGTATTAAATAAATTAACTATCGTAATCAAAATGATTGAACGATTTGGGGTAAAAAGGGCACATTGGGCACATATGTACTCTAATACTACTTTACTTAATGTAATTGTGTGTTTTGTACTCTAATATTATGTTTTTATTTTCCATGATAACATTCCATACAAAAAGCCCAACCCCATTCATGTATAGGTTTTAAGATAAAACTTTTAATGGGTAGAAACCCCGGTACAACGAAAAGCTTTGGAACGAAGAAAATAATTAGATTGAGATAAACGATACTTAAGTTAATTAAATAGCGCAGAGAAGCTGGGACGATAAAGGTTTTAATTTTGCAAAGGAGCAAAAGTTAACTTTGTTTTTGCATCAGTTATTCATAAAGACGCGCAAACATCCTTCAAAAGTTTTGTGAAAAAGTGGCGGGTCGAAATTAATTCGCGGGAGGCCGCAGAGAGTGGCGGCCGCTTATGAAGTTGGCAAAGTTTATTAATATTCCAGTGGTAGTTAATGAGCGACATGCGCGCTGACTATTAGCCCCTCATAATTAGCCACTCACTCGGGCCAGTTTTCATAATTAATTTCGCGATGTCGATTCGTCCCTTCTGCGGCTAGGCTGTCGCAGCGCGATTGTCTCCGACTTACGTTTACTCGCTGATGAATAATTTATCCACTTTTGTTTAATCTCGGAATACTCGAATACAATTTCATCCGGCCCAACTTTTGTCTAATCCGGCCCGTATAACTTTTCCTAATAGGATTGCTCCGACTTTGAATAATGTCGTTGTTTCTTTCCTCTTTTCTTTTTCAATAAGGAAATGGAATGAGAGTCCGCGTTGAAAGGTTCTGCAAGTTTTTGATTGCATTGACTTTCAACGACTCGAGTTTCGGTTGATGGCGTTGTTCATTGCTCAATCTTATTTTTTTATTTTACATAGATAGTGGTCTGTTAAACACTTAATTCGTGGCTTATCATGATACAACATTTCGTTCAACAATTCAAATCGTAGTTCAACTAATATATTCTAGTGTAAAATGGAGACTATTATACGAGATGAAACAATGGAACCCCTAGTATAGGACAATACCCCGTCGAGTCAAGTTGTCTAGAGGTCTATGGGGATGTTGTGGTTGTGGTAGGTCCGTGGTTTTGGTTCTGTGGCTGTGGTTTTGTCTGGTGCGCCATTTAAAGTTGCCCAAGCACCTTCCCTACACTACAACCTTCCACCCATTGTCTCGGCTTTTGTTATATGTCACGCTGGACATCATGTTCAGTCCTATATTGTTTTTGATACTTGGGGACGATCAAACATTTGTTTATGGTCATACAAACTATCAAATCATATTATTGGGTTTAATGTGATTTAGTTGTCTAATATGGGATGGTTGAAAATTCTAATTATTTAATTATATTTTTCACACATTATTTTTTTTATAATTCACAAACATTATTTTAACTTTCAAAATGTATTTTGGAGAGCTGCCCGTTACGCAAACGCCATATTAGTCATAATAAGGTTTGTTGTCATGTGTAGGCTTGGTTTGCTGGTGCTTGTTAGCTAAAGATATATTTTACGTAGATTTGAAGTTAAAGCAGGAACCCCAAGCATTGATAAAAGCGTATAACGGTTGAACGAATAAAAAAAAATAGTTGATTAAGTAAGACTAGGTACAAATCAATAACGTAAGGTGCTTGATCCGATGTGTTATGTTATGCTAGGTTTGGTGTTCATGATGAGTTTTGCTGATTTCTCTTTGTTGACCAGCAGCATTTTGTTTTCCAGTGAACGGAGGGTGGTCGTCGTGGTCGGCTTGGTCGGAGTGCAACTCTCGTTGTGGTCGTGGGATACAGAAGAGGTCCAGGATCTGCAACAATCCTCCGCCTCTCAACGGAGGAGCTCAGTGTCCTGGCCTTGCTCTGGCTAAGATAGATTGTATTTAATCTTTGTCTGCGATGTTCCAGTGAACGGAGGATGGTCGTCGTGGTCGTCTTGGTCGGAGTGCAACTCTCGTTGTGGTCGTGGGATACAGAAGAGGTCCAGGATCTGCAACAATCCCCCGCCTCTCAACGGAGGAGCTCAGTGTCCTGGCCTTGCTCTGGCTAAGATAGATTGTATTTAATCTTTGTCTGCGATGTTCCAGTGAACGGAGGATGGTCGTCGTGGTCGGCCTGGTCGGAGTGCAACTCTCGTTGTGGTCGTGGGATACAGAAGAGGTCCAGGATCTGCAACAATCCCCCGCCTCTCAACGGAGGAGCTCAGTGTCCTGGCCTTGCCCTGGCTAAGATAGATTGTATTTAATCTTTGTCTGCCATGTTCCAGTGAACGGAGGATGGTCGTCGTGGTCGTCTTGGTCGGAGTGCAACTCTCGTTGTGGTCGTGGGATACAGAAGAGGTCCAGGATCTGCAACAATCCCCCGCCTCTCAACGGAGGAGCTCAGTGTCCTGGCCTTGCCCTGGCTAAGATAGATTGTATTTAATCTTTGTCTGCGATGTTCCAGTGAACGGAGGATGGTCGTCGTGGTCGGCCTGGTCAGAGTGTAACTCTCGCTGTGGTCGTGGGATACAGAAGAGGTCCAGGATCTGCAACAATCCTCCGCCTCTCAACGGAGGTCCTCAGTGTCCTGGCATAGCCCTGGCTAAGATAGATTGTACTTAACCTTTGTGTGTAATGTTCCAGTGAACGGAGGATGGTCGTCGTGGTCGGCCTGGTCGGAGTGCAACTCTCGTTGTGGTCGTGGGATACAGAAGAGGTCCAGGATCTGCAACAATCCTCCGCCTCTCAACGGAGGTCCTCAGTGTCCTGGCCTAGCCCTGGCTAAGATAGATTGTGCCTCACCTTTGTGTGTGATGTTCCAGTGAACGGAGGATGGTCGTCGTGGTCGGCCTGGTCGGAGTGTAACTCTCGTTGTGGTCGTGGGATACAGAAGAGGTCCAGGATCTGCAACAATCCCCCGCCTCTCAACGGAGGCGCTCAGTGTCCTGGCCTAGCCCTGGCTAAGATAGATTGTACTTCACCGTGTCCAGGTAGGAATTTTGTTATGATACTCTATTAGAATAAACCTAAAGTGGGAGAAAACCAGCCTAATACCAAGTAGAATTCCTTAGACTAACAAACTTTTTTACTTCTAACTGCATTATTTTACTTCCTTTTAATGACCTTAAGTATAAAGCAGAAACAATACATTTATAACTAAATATTCTCCCACAATAAGTATGAAGATTATATAGTTTGTAGCATTTATATATTATATAGTATAACATATAGACACATATCAGTGTTTGTTTGTTTTGTTATTTAAGGGAATAAGTATCCCTTTTTATTTTACTTTTTGTGTGATCCGTTTCAATTAGGTATATATGTTTACCCAGTACATAGAGAAGTAGCCCTATTATCTACAAAGTTTTTTTTCATACAAAATCTCACATGGTACAGTACTTAAAGTAAGTTAAAAACATATTCAGTTATATTGTTTTGTTGTTGTTTTTCACTTTAATAAAGTCATATTAATGCCAAATAAAACAACATATTCAGTGGGTAGAATGAGATTGAGTTCAGGTTTCACATTATAAAGTTTTATACACTTTTTCACAATTTCCAATTAAATCGTTATCTAGTAACATTATATCTTGTTCCCTTATAAAATGCGCCATGTTCCTAATAATGCAAAATCACACTTCCGCAATGTTTACAACCCTTGATTTGCATTGCATTAAAAATTAGCATAACTCTTTTTACACCAGTACTAAAACATGCCCTTGCACGTTTTCCCTATAAAACTATAGAGTTAATTCAGTTGTACTTGTTCAATTGCGGTAGTCAAAGTACAGATCTGAAATGCAAATTGACAATACCATAACTAGAAGACAACTATTTATAAAGTTCAAGGAAGAAATAAGGCGGATTGAAATATCTCGACTAGCCTTGATGTAGGTGGGACACAACGGCTACCGGCTGGGCGACTCCTGCGGCCCGCATTTACATAATAATATTATTAAAACAGCATGCATCAGATTAATATCTCGGATAATAGAGTATTAGAGGCACTCCTCTCAGCCGCCGCGGGCCTGCTTTCCCTCTCCTTCGATGTAAATTTAATATTTCTAAACAACCCGTTACAGAGAATGTATGTTCACAAACGAGAGGGCCCTTAGTGGATGGTAAAGAGGCCCGTTTTGAATACCAATGAATAAGTGGACTAGTTTTTTATGTGATACAATGTTTTGTGCCTACCGAAGAGGATGATCGTAAGTCTTGTTTGGGAATATTTGAATGTTTTATTTCTTATCAAGTGAACACTCGGTACCTAGAGCATAAGCAGGGAGATTGAGGTTGTTTTCACTTTCTACCCTGGAATTTTTACTGCATCATCTGCATGAGTTTTCGTGTTGTTTTGGTTGATTTGAAGTTTATTTCTCTCACTGTTTTATACCTATTTTAACACCTTTTCTTTCATTCTATGTTTGCATATATTTTATTTCCATGTTTACTGACTACTAATTTACACATTTACACATTTTGTGTTTTACTGACTTCTTGACTGTTATCATTAATACGTACTAATCTCTTTGCCCATTTTTATGCAAATACCTAGGACAGTTTTGGCTTAGTGCAACAGTCATAGTATTAATTGTCATCGTTATTAATATGAAAGTGAAGAACGGGTTTTGACATGTGTTTTGTGACAAAATCAGTTACATACAAAAACTAGTAACTTCCTCCATGCATTGTACAAGGACGAAAACGATCAAAACTAAATAACCAACATGTAGTCCTAATTGCACTGTCGTAGTGCATACTCATGTTGTCTACTACTGAGAGTCCACCTGGATATTTTGATATTTATTGTGTACGCATACTAAGACAAACATTGTTTACAGCCGTGGACGGTAGATGGTCGGCGTGGTCGTCCTGGAGTGCCTGTGGTCCTGATTGTAAACACACCAAGAGAAGAACTTGCAGCAATCCTGCACCCTCCAACGGCGGCAGCTACTGTCAGGGCAAAGACACCGCCATGGCCAACTGTACTGGACCTCTGTGTGTTGGTGAGTTGTTGAATTAGCTTGTTGTCACAACATTTCTTGAGTTACATTGCTTGAGTTCCAAGATACATTCTCAGTTTCTAACACTCTGTCTGTGTTTGTCTTGTAGTTATTCGCCCCGAGGATGACATAGGCCTCGCCCCCTACATTGGCCTGGCCGTGGCTTGTGCCGTGTTTAGCTGCGTAGCTGTGGTCATGTTTCTACTCAGGCGCCGCAAGGGTCGCGACCATCGCATGTACGACAGAGCTAACTCAGGTACGTGACGTGTAATTGGCAAACCTCGGGTTGTTGGGTGACTGCGAACTAACACGATCTGCTGAGGGAAATACTTTCAACGCTGTGTCTGGTGGAAAAAATGTGGAAACAATAAATCAACAATTACGCGCAATTTTTGCTGGTATAAGAAATTGCTTTATCTACAGAAAACTTGAATGTGTTTCCCCAGAATCAGTGCATTAAAAGAACATGCAATTGGCTCCTCATAATGTAACTAGTTTATACAATTACATTAAACTTAAATAATCCAGAATAGAATTTTTGACAGCATTATTTTTTTAATGGTGTCCAGAAAATAATTGTAGTCTAAAACATGATTCTGTGGTGAGAAACTTTGTTTACTTACCCTGTGGTTTAAGATATTGTAAATGTATGTAATTCTGATTATGACAGAACTCCTTTCAACTCCTTTAACTAATATTATCTTTTTTGTATTATTTTTTAATATTTTCCTATAAAAGGCCTACTTAATAAAACAAATTATTTAATCTTGAAGATGTTTAGCTCTACATAAGCTTTTAAATTAAAATAATTGGTTTAGTATGGCTATAATCAGGAATACTGGTTACAGACTACCAGCCAGAATACCTCCCAGAAAAGGACAACAAGAGCTATGGTGTTGAGCCGTTTGAGCCAGACCTGACCAGAGGTGCACTGATCCCCGTGACTGTACCCAGCTGCTACGAGTATCCCTTCAGTGACAGATCAGAGCTGCAGCGTTCCTGCAGTGAGCATCACTACGACGTGCCTGACCTGCGTAGTGCTAACTCTCACAGCCTCGCCAGCTTCACTGGATCTTGTGAGTGGCTTGTTGTGAATTGTATATTTTATTTTTGAATACTTCAGTCAAATTAGGGGACTCGTTGTTAATTTTACCAGCATTTAAAAATATGATTCTTTTTTGGCTATTCATATCCAAATTGGTACAAATGGTTTTTTATTAGTTTTCCTCATATTTTCCTTTAATCAGAGATTCATCAAATACCACCTTTTCCGTTGTCGATACGTATTCAAATGGTATATGATACAAAGATAAGGTAGGTTCAATTTGGATAGGTTAGGTTGAGTAGGGTTGAATTACCAAATACATTAGAAGCGAGATTACAAGCTGAAACAAAATTAGTATTTTTGAAATAGAAAAAATGCTGTTCAACTATCAGAAAATAACTCAAGTTTAGGTTTTAACCACGATTTCTAAGGTCAAATCCTTAGTTCAAAGTAAATATTTGTTAGTCTAACTTGTTTTTATGATATTAATTAAATAGTTTCCTTAATAATCTGTATTCTAGTTCGTTGCAAAAAATTAAATTGGAAATAACCACAGTTATCAAAATAAAAATCACAGTAATTATTTAAGAGAGTCAAACAGAAACCACTTTGATCACATGTGTTTCCAACTGACAATCACTGCCTTCTAATTCAATCAGTCAGCAATTATCCAGTTAAATGAGCCTCTAATAGGCTGAGATGGATTCAACCGACTTAGTTGTTGTTTGTTGCCAACTTTGATTATGGTTCACCTCAAGTCAGCTTGCGTGATGTGACTATCAATAATAAGCAACATTGCTTTTTATTTTTTGTACGTTTAAAAGCATCTGAATAAGTTTTAGTTTTTTGTTCTAATAGTTTGTACTTTTACAGCTGTTTCTTGTGTAGACGAGAGATCCTGTAAGAGTTCTCTTTCGTTGCCTGGGTGCTCTGACATAGACTGTGTAGGGAGTTCCCTCATGACGTCCACCGGAGGAAGAATATCACTCCCGGAATCTGGAGTGTCCTTAACAGTTCCCGAGGGAGCGATCCTCAAAGGAGTGAAAGAGCAAGTTTATGTGGCTGTGCTACGGGATGACAGGCACAGGCCAAAACTGGCAGGTAAATGATGAGTTTTGTTTTAGTTGACATTAAAATGTTATAGGCAATATTATGATATATATTTTCAATTCATCAATCAAAACTGATATAAATGGTTTTTAACAGTGGGTTTAGTAAAACATTCCTAGTTTTAGATATCGCAAAATGTTTGAGGTTCTGCTAGACTACAAGACCTCCTTGAAAAAACGAGTTTTCAAATAAAAGTAATATACTACCATATAAGTGGGGGTTTTTACCAATTTTCGATTTACATCATTGATATATAGAATATATAGAAATTATAAATTAGGCTAATAATCTTTGGATGGTAAGTTAATGTTGCAGAATCAATTACCTGTTCAGTATTTTGTACTGATTGTATATTTTATAATATATAGAATATACTTTTAAAATACATCAAACAATAAATTAAATTCTAGTTTAAGTTACTAGAATTTAGATTTCGTAGTACCTTTCTATGGACAAAATAATGCAGCCTTTTGTTAGACATAAAACTACAAATTGTAATCTCTTTCTTAGGATAAAAAAATTATAAATACATCTTTGAACACTAAACCATCTATCTTAAGGTTTTGTTTCTGAAAACCAAACAGATGAAGACCCTTTAATTTCCCATTTGAGATCAATACGATTTTTGCAGAGCGTCAGTTAATTGTTGTAGATCAGCTGTTTAGTGAGTCACATATTTGTTGCCAGATGGAATGACTCAGTTGAGTCCAGTTGTGTTATGTGGCCCAGCCAGTCTGGTGCTCAACAAGCCAGTAATGTTGAATGTACAGCACTGTGTGAGTCTCAGTTAATTGTTGTAGATCAGCTGTTTAGTGAGTCACATATTTGTTGCCAGATGGAATGACTCAGTTGAGTCCAGTGGTGTTGTGTGGCCCAGCCAGTCTGGTGCTCAACAAGCCAGTGGTGTTGAATGTGCAGCACTGTGTGAGTCTCCGTTAATTGTTGTAGATCAGTTGTTTAGTGAGTCACATGTTTGTTGCCAGATGGAATGACTCAGTTGAGTCCAGTTGTGTTGTGTGGCCCAGCCAGTCTGGTGCTCAACAAGCCAGTGGTGTTGAATGTGCAGCACTGTGTGAGTCTCCGTTAATTGTTGTAGATCAGTTGTTTAGTGAGTCACATGTTTGTTGCCAGATGGAATGACTCAGTTGAGTCCAGTGGTGTTGTGTGATCCAGCCAGTCTGGTGCTCAACAAGCCAGTGGTGTTGAATGTGCAGCACTGTGTGAGTCTCCGTTAATTGTTGTAGATCAGTTGTTTAGTGAGTCACATGTTTGTTGCCAGATGGAATGACTCAGTTGAGTCCAGTTGTGTTATGTGGCCCAGCCAGTCTGGTGCTCAACAAGCCAGTAGTGTTGAATGTGCAGCACTGTGCTAGTCTCAAACATGGACCTTGGGCACTCTCTGTGTTTGCATCTGAATCTTCCCTTGATGCATTGCCTGTGTGGAATGTAAGTAAAAAAATGATATTTAAATTTTTATTCATAATTTACCTATAAAGTAAGTCTAAATACGTATCTATTAGTTTTACACAAACGTAAAATATAAATTCCAATAAATCAAATCAAATTAAAAGAACTTTTTCTTGTCCCTAGTAAAAGTAATACTACCTATTACTTACTATTATTACTATTTATAGTATACTACCTATGCTGTATAAAACTACAAACTTATGCTAACACCCAAATCTTTATTATTTAAATTAACATAAAAATAAAATTAAGGATCATTTGTACTAAAATATGTTTTAGAATGATACTTTTAAATCTCTATGGATGATCAAGTTACCTTTTTGCAAGAAAAGCATAGACTCTTTATTTAATTCATTTCTAAACGTAAAATTGTTGTTCATATTTTTTAAAAGTCTGTATTATTTGAAAAAAACTAGGAGCATCAATAAGCTTTTCAATATTGTAAATACTTGTGCATACAAGTTGATTAAATTTCAACTTATGTGATTTTACATTTTGATTATTTCACCTATGTTATCTTTGAAAAACTATTCCTTAAAATATTGAGGTTTTGAAACGTGTTATATTTGTTCAAACATACTATTAAGTATTAACTAAAGGTAAAGCATTCTAAAAATATATCTTAAATAAAAATGTTGATGAAAATCACAAGACTTTACAAAAACAAAAGTGCATTTCAATGTGCATTATATTGCAAAATTATTAACAAAATTCGTCAACAATTATGAAATAATATTTAAAAAATTCCATGTAATCAATGTTTTTCCAATTGCAGAAAGTAGTTACCCTCGGGGAGGAGACCATCAACACGTCAGTCTTCACTCAGATAGACTCCAACCAAGTGTTTGTGATGTCGGACTCATTGACGAGGTTCGTGTTGGTGGGAGAGCCCTGCAGGAGTTTGGCGCCCAACGTGGGGCCAAGTGGAGCGAGGTCCTGTGTTAAACTTCTGAGGCTTGCTGTGTTCACACCTCCCATGTCCAGGACTTCTCACCAGACTGACTACAGTGTCAGGGTGTACGCTCTGGAGGATAATTCGGCTGCCTTAGAGGTACTTTATAACCATTTACAACCAATGTTTTTTTTTCTAAAGGAGGTTTAAACAATGATTAAATAATGTTAGTGGTATATCAATCTGTAGTAATAATTTCTAGGGAGGAAATACGTCATTGGTTACGAATAAATGGTGCTATATAATAAAAAAGGTTGATGCTAGATAGTAGCAAGACCAGGGATTGGACCGTTCCCTTACGTAAAAAAAATTCAATAGAATAGGAAAAAACAAAATAAATATTGAAAACAGCTGTTGACGTTTAATAATAATGTATTTAATCTTTTTATTATCTGACAAATTTATTGATCATAAATTTGTTAAAAATACACGTTAAACATATTTTTCTTTGTGTGTTAAAGAATACCTTTTAGCATACACATGAATAGATTATTAAAACATCATGGTATTATGAGAGGAAAGACTACTTTCGTTAATTTGTGCTTGTGTTTGTTTTCCTTTAAGTATTTTATATTAATACATACCTTAAAATTTAAATATTTTGTCTTATATTTTACAGGGAGTTCTGAGGGTAGAGAAAAAGCTGGGTGGTTGTCTAGCAGACAAACCAAAATCTCTCCTCTTCCAAGACGATGGTGCCAGTCTCAGTATCAGTCTAGAAGACATCAGTCCAGGCTGGAGATGCAAGCCACATACAGACTATCAGGTAAAGATGGGTATATTTTGAAGACTATTGGTGATTAATTATTCTAGCCTTGGACTCACTTTTTTATTATTTTACAAAATAGATAAGCTTTTAAAATTTGAATCATAAAACAGTATAACAAATTTAAATTATTAATTTAACGTATATCCTTTGGAATAAATAATAACCTATATTGTAAATATTAGGATTTCTAGTGAGGAGAGCAGGCTTACCTGAATTGAAAAAAAACCATAACTTACTGGTGTATGAAAAAAGAAAAGATACACCTGAATACACTAAACATTAGAATATTTCACTGTCACTGACAGAATTTTCAACTAGGAGGTAGAGCGTTTTTCCTGGAGAGTTAATATTGTAAATAAATATGTATTTTTTACAAATATTATGCTGAATTTTTAATGAAATTTTTCCAGCATATTTAATTGTAGAAAAATATTTTATCGTTCGTAAGAACATAAGTCCAAATCCTCTGATATCTAAATATGGAACTATACTTATTATTTATTTTAAAATTCTCAGGTGTATTTTTAGTCAGTAACAGATATTGAACTAACCATCCTACTAGTGGTATGTCTTATTACTTACAATATTATTGCAATGCACTGTCAACTTTCTTATGTAAACAAAATACGAGTGTTCATTTAATGATAATTGATTTATTCTGTTACAAATTTCCCCCATTTATTCATTTACTTTGCAGGGGTTTTCCCAAATATTATTAAATATTATTAAAATATAGGCAATAAAAAATTATAAATTGTATATTCGTAGCACTGCAAAATGTTCCTGAATCCACCAAACCTTTTTTATATGTTTTTGAAATATTTTGTTACAGGAAATCCCGTTCAGTCACGTATGGAACTCCAATGTGAACCACTTGCATTGCTCCTTCTCTCTGGAGAGAGTAGATCAAGTTACGACCAGTATTAGTTTCCGTGTGCTGGCCAGCCAGAAAGGCTGTCAAACTCACAGGCAAATGTTTAGGATACAAGCAGACCTGGGAGTGGACTCTTCGTCTTCATCACTGGTAATTATGAACCGACTACTCACTTATTATTTTTTTTGAGCTTTGAAACATTCTGCATTTTTTTCAGAAATGTAGGTTATTACATTGTTGGTTGCTTGTATTAAAAAAAAAAACTAAAAAAAGATAGCCTAGGTGTGTGTGAGTTAATGTTTGGATCTATTTTTCCAGCAGGTGGGGCTGCCTCCTCCAGGGTGCAGAACTGTGACTAGCAGCAGTGGATGTGGCTCTAGCATCACAACGTGTGACAACACTCCCTTTAGGTAAAAACCCTCAATAACAATATAAAAATAAAACGTTTTATAGTTTTAATAATAGAAAGGTAATACCATTGGATCATTATTTTTGTACACGTTGCATAATGAGCTCGGTAGGTGCTCCCTACATGGAGATTACTTCAAAATGTGTTTATTCGGAATATACCATTTGGTACTTAAACTGTAAAACCACAGACAATGGAATAAACCAGTTAAAGTATTAACCAATAAATAAACCAATAAACCAATTAAAGTATTATATTGTCTGTGGTAAAACTAAATACGATTTTGTTCAACAGGTTAAACAGGACCTTGAAGAGACAACTCTGCCAGTGTCTCAACCCACCAAATGCAAGAAGCAACGACTGGAGAATGCTTGCTCAAAGACTAAATGTCGATAGGTAAAACAATCTTACTTTTTTAAATTACTAAGAGTGATTTTTATAATGTTTTGATAACAATTAAAACTAAAACTCAACTTCATTTCACTTTAAGGCAACAAAGTTTATATATTGATTTTATTTATCAACCATAACCAATTACTACTTTACTTAAAGACTAAGAGCTCTTGTAATGTAATATAATATTTCCTAAAAACTTTCAAACTTTATTTTGTATTGCATAAAGATGTTTCTTCCAAAAGCAAAAGTATTTTTAACTTTTAACTCCTTACATGCAGACCATTTTTTTCATTAAACATTTTCTTCTCTAACTAACCTTTTGGCTGACGATTTTGTCAGCAAATGTATAGAACCTTCCTAATATTCATACCTAAGCCACTTACAATATTATTTTGTTGGTAGGTACATTAACTACTTCGCCACCAAGCCGAGCCCAACAGAGCACATCCTTGACCTATGGGAAGCCAGACACAGGGAACCATCAGCCGTCACTGACCTTGTCAACATACTGAGAGTCATGGGTAGGAACGATGCAGCATCACTAATAGAAAAGCAGCTAGGACCATGGCTGTAGTTCGAAGATCTGCATCTATTTCAGGAAAACCAATTGATTCCCTCTCCTGATCTATTTGTCAGCAGATGCCAGGCTCTCAAAGACAGTTAGTTTCTTTGTGAAGCTAATCTGTGATAACAGAACCGCAACATGGAGAATTTTGAAATACTATGAGAAAAACACTTTGTGGACATCAAGAGCTGGAACTTGGGACATTTTTTTCAGAAACTGCTACAAGAATCTTAAATATCTACTAGCCTCCAAAAGCCCCAAAGTGACTTATTTCATGAGATTTTAGAGCAGAAATATTGGTCCCTCCTGGTATTTCAATAGAAAGTTTAAAGCATAGTATGAAGAATATTCCTGCGATCAAGATCTGCAACATGAAGAGATTCATGCATTTTCTAGACAACAGTTTCTATAAAGAGTTTCTTAAAGATCAGGATTAGTGGCACGAGAAGTCTAAGAGAAAGTATTTTTCACGAATATCAGTAACGTTATCCCAAAGGCTTTCCAAAACACCAGGAAGCATATTGCAAGTCAAAAATAACAAAAAGAATTGATTAGAGCTTAGCAATCAAAAAATTAAAATTATTATTTTCTATGGCTTGATGAACGTTTTTTTCTTATTTTTCTAGATATTGATTGTACAAATCTTAAGTTGGAAAATTAAAAACATCAGGCTCTTCTCAATAAATGATAAATGTTCAATTTTTGTTATTTTATGTTATATATGTACAGTATAGTAAGAAGAATGATATCCTTAAAGCGAGTAATTTGAGGTGAATTATGGTAGAAATATTCTAGGTAAACAATTGAATTTAAATTAATAATAATCCTGATTTTTCGATCTTCTCTTTTTTCGCTGACGAACTAATTTTAAGCCGCGACTTTATGCATGTACCTACTGTACTTGAGCTGAGCTGAAGTTGGCAAAATGCTTCCAAATGTTTCGTTAACTTCATGTGTTAAGAACATAACCAACAACTAACCTTAGAAAAGACCTCAAAATACTATTCCTGAAATGATTACTGCCTATTGCATTTTGAATTAAATAAACTGTGTTCTGTGATATATACAAAAATATTTTTTTAGAATATAGTTATTATTTTCTATTGTTTGACCAAAGTTCAGGAGACTGAAACCCGTTTTGTAAAGAGCTGCAGATTAATGAGCATTTGTATTGTTCAGGCATTGAAAATAAAAGTCTTTCACAAAAATATGTCAAATTACTAGGTGAAAGACTCATAAATGTATTTTTATGACTTTCCCAATTGGAAAAGATAATTTATTTAGAAGATAGTAAATATTTACAGGTATTTAGGCCTACATATGTAGTTTACTAAGGTAAAATGAATTTCTTACAAAGCCTGGATACGTGATGTTTTACATCTATATTATACACGAGCAAACATTTCTGTTAAGAAACAAATATTATTTGTGTTTTTAATGTTTGTTTGATATTAAATTTCCTATTGTACGTGCATTATTGTCATGCATAATATATCCAACTATGCAAATATGTAAATCCGTTCATCCTGTTTAAATATTTACTTTGTAGATAGATTTTTTTTGCAAATAACAAACTTTGGGAGTTTTTTTAAAATGTGGCTGTGAATATAGTTTGCATATGCAATCAAAATAGTTTTACTTGGCTGATATATTTTATTACATAAATTTAAGAAAATATAACCAACCAGTATAATTCAGCTTTTTAGATTTTTTGGTTTTAAATTTATAGTTTATAAGCCTAAGTCTGTTTTATTAAAATATTTTATGTAGTTATTCCTATTGAAATATGTTGTTGACTTTGTTAATGTTAGTTAATAATAAAAATCTAACCATAAAACCCAAAATCCTAGTTTTGAAATAAGCATTCAATGTATCCAAGTGCCCTTGGACATTGTTTTGAATACCAGCTGGCTGTTTGCATGTGTTTTTTAATCTCCATAATGCCTTTTTCGTAACCACACACATAGCACGATATAATTTTTATTTTTTCCATGCAACTTTGCTCAGTACATAACTATTTGTAAAAAACTATTTGGTGCATTTTTTCGTTCCTCGTTTATATTACAGCTTAGTTTATGATTGTTGTTGTAAAAAGTGTTGTGTATAATATTGCAGAAGGGGTTTATTTGTTTTTTAGATTTGCTGTAAATATAAAATGTGTATTTGTAGAAACATTTTAGAAACGAAGTTTTATATAACAATAGATTTAATGTAAATAAAATAAACCTGTGTAAATATATTTAATAGTAGGTTGAATGTTGCCAAAAGTAACATTGTAATATGTAATAAAACATTTGTATTGGTCATTATAAATAACTTTATGGAATGTGTTCAAATTATTTTGCCCTTTCCATATTTCTGCGTAGTACATCTATAGTATATTATTAGATCTGCAAAATGTGTTCTCCTAACGTTCTTATGATAGGCAGCCCTCATTTAGAACTTCCTCAATGTTCCACCTTAAATAAATAAAACAGTAATAAACAATAGATATGCAAAAATCACTAAACTGTTTCTATCAGATTAAATTTACTTGTACGAATACCTGAAAATAATGGTTCTTAAGTATTCCTTAAGTACAGTAGCTCTCTCTGAAATAGATGTATTAAAAAAAGAATAGTTCCCCGTGTCAAAGGTATATTCAGGAACTTAGGTTAACTAAGTGAGAAATATTCATGTATATCATTATTGCTGGACCAACTCTGAACAGAACACAGCACATGTGTAATGTTTTTTGGCCAGTAAAAAAATAAAATCACTTTAAATAAGAATTAAACAAAGTGATGTCTGACAAGTACCAAAGTGCACATGTACATGGTATGTTATTATCTTAAAATTACACGATTTATAGGTTCTGTCAACCATTAAGTTCTTGTGTACTATCAAAATTAAGGCAATCTAATTTGTTTGTTTAAAATAACTCCTCGACAATCCAATTTGTTGAAACGACCTCTCCTACCTACTTTCTTTCAAAGAACGGCGAACTGAAAGCAATCTTTTTACAGATTTAAAACGCTTGATAAGAAGCACAACTGCTTTTCTAATCTTCTTAATGAGCCAGACAAAGAGGTTAAAACAAAGGGATAACAGTAACCGTAAAAGAACAAAGTGGAAACGTTATCTGGCGGCCAGCGTTCCAGCAAAGGTCTAGACTTGTTATCAATATGGGAGACGTCAAGGGAAGATAACCGTTGTAAACAGCCTTGATACAAACACAGCCACCCCAACCTTGATAACATCTGGAGACATACCCTTCGATCTTGCCTACGTTGGTGCCATACATCAATCTAGGGTACGGGGTTGCGGCCTCGCTTTGAGGTCTTTGCGTAGTATCAAAGAAGGTTGCTCACTTCTGAAAGAACTGGATTACTTTTCATTCCCTGGTGCAAATTTTAAATATTTAGATTAGGATTTACAAACGTGTTCTCTTGAAGAACGCTGATGTATACGGAATTGATTTACTTGGAAATTTCATTGGGAATAAGGTGTCATTAGTTGAAACAGGATATGAACAGGATAAGTGTAGGTCTATAAAACGTATTGTCTATAAGTATCAATCGTATTTAAGGAATACCAGAAAAAAATATTTCCTTGATCAACAGTGTTTCTAAATTAAATGCCTACAAGAAAGGGTTAAACTTTAGCCACAATTATTCTCATGGGATCTAAAAAATCCATGATTGCTAAAAAATTGAAAATGTGTCGAACCTTCTTCAATTTTATTTAAAGTTTAAATATTTAAATAAAAGAAATACCTATCAAGTTCCTTTAATAACAGTTAACGTAGGATTATTTATATATTTTATGTGTCTAATTGAATGTTGGGCTTTGCGAATTCATTCAAGTTTAAGAATTCTCTTACACTTATTTACATTTTTGAAAATTGAAATTGTGAGTTTAAATCATATTGGCATTTTAATACAGCAATTTTGTGTAATGATCTTATAATAAATTATAGACAATTTAAAATACATGCGTTCTTATCTGAGTCAAGCAATGTGGTTAAATAGTTATATCAGAGTGAACTTTGAAAAAATACTATTTAATTTTTTGTCCCAAATTCTCCTCAAAAATTCTTATGATTAACAAACCATCGGTTACGAAAAGAAAATCTCGCCTGATGTCGTTGAGACACTCTCTATCTCGATTTGGTTTCGTGAACTCGCATAATTCTCTTGTTTAGGGAAAGATGTATACGCCTCACGTAAAGATTATCTCTCTTGAACTATATTGAAAGATGTCGCTTGTGTTCCATTTTTTGAATATAAACCCCCTAATAAAGATAAAATGAACCTATTGAGGTTAAATTCATATTATTGCATAGCCTGTGCATTGTCTGAAGTGGTTTTGTGATAGTGACAACTTTCTTTCAGATGCATCCATCAACGAAAAAATAATCTAAAAAGTAACTTTTTTATTGGCAAGACAAATTCTGCCATACTATTGATCGTCTATTGGTGGAATTGAGTAATACGGTACATTCAGTCAAAAAAATTGCCTAACCTCGACATCCAAGAAGGGTCTTTCAAAATTGCGTAACTTTTTACCATACAATATAGATAAAATATTGAATATAATATATATATATAATACAGGGTGAATAAAAAGTTAAGAACCCCCATATAATATTTTGATTTTCCACAACATTTGATGGGCTACTATTTTAGACAGAGAAGAGATAGCGACCTCTAGTTTTCACAATTCTTTAAGTTTCTGTAAACACTTTAAAATGAGGTGTCACTTGAAGGGGGCTTACATTTAAAATATTTGAGTTACCCCCCAAATACCCTCTTTTGGGGGGACACTCAAAAATGTCAAAATCATAAAAAGAAACTTCCTGTTAAGATTGCACGACCCCCAAAAGGATATCTCTGTATATTTACTTAGAAAAATATTAGATGGGGGGGGGTCTTGACTTTTTATTCATCCTGTATATATAGAATATTGATTGATATATTTAACAGGTTGGAGTCAAAAGTTTGCTTTCACATTGGATGTTGGGGTTTAGGTCTAATTACACCATACTATAAGAGTCTGTTAAATGATTTCTCTCGCATTTAATTTGCGAATGAGAAAATCCCTTTATAATTTCCAAATTATAGTCAATTTGTTCACAAGCTATTCGATTTCCTAAAAAGTCACGTTGCATTATCCACAATGTTCTATTAGGTAACGATTACAATTTGTTCATAGCGATCTATTAGTTTGCACTAAACTCCATTTACATTTTTGAATAGATTTTACCTGCAAAATGTAAAAGTTATAAATGCACATTTAACGATTCCAAGTGAAAATAAGTTTTGCGTTTCACAATTTTCCATCAAGTATCTTTTATTGGTGAGGAGACGTAACGAAATATAGCTTTTACGTAACAACGAGACATTAATGACGAGAAAACGTATAATTAAATCAACCCTAGTAACGACCCGTTCTCGTTAGTTGGGGCTGCATCATTACAATTAAAGGAGAATTTCCAATCATACCCTAACGGCTTTATGTTCCAATGATCCTTGTATACATTTACATAACTACAACAAATATTTGCACTCTGACATTTATTACAGCATCTTCAGTACTGAGGAGATGCTGTAACGTAAATCCTTTATCGTTTTTTTCAACATAAATATTATTTATTTAGTATAGTGCATTTAAGTAAATTTAGTTAAACTCATCACGAGAATGAAGATTAAAATCTGTTTATTACTTATCATAGTAAAATGTTGATTTGAAACCACCTCTTATGGGTATAGAGAACCACATTTATCTATTAGATTTATTATTAAACTACATTCATTTATCGACTAATAACTGACCTATATAGTGCAGTAAAAATAAGAGATAAAAATTCCATGAACCTAAAAAAAATTAGCACAACCGGGGAATTTGATACAGATGTTGGGTGTACCTTCCTTTTGAACATACTAAAAGTCCCCTAAAATTGAAACTGTGCTACGGACGCCATATTGGAAAATGGCGGCATATTTCTGTATTTTTCGCTATAGTGACTTTACTATTAGAGATACAGTAAAAATCTAAATATACAAAATGTAGGTCATCTAAAAATACACATTTTTTGTATTTATCATCCTTCTCTAAACCCAATGGTTTTTTAGTTATTAATTATTAAGTATATTTAGTTTTTTTCTATTTATCAAAAATAGGTGAAACACATGGAAATTTACCGTTACTTTCAAGGATTATGATAATTTATCCCATTTATTTAAATAGTGTGATGCTATAAAATCTTAATATTAAACTTATTTTATGAGTTATACAACTCCGCCACATCAAACCTGCGGACTCAGCAAATTTCCATTTGATTGGATGTTTTATTAAATGTATATAAATGAAATTAGGTTCAACAGGTAACTAGGTTTGCTGCTACAGGTAGGTTATTATAGTGTGTTTTTTTTTAAAGTAAAATATCAATAACTTAGTATAAAATAACTAACTTTCCAAGCTTGATCATAATATATCTATAAACAAGCAAACTACAACGGTTAACTAATTCTTAAGAATAGCATGGGAATTTTAAATTTACAATTTACAAATTTGAATATAAAAATTTTGGTTGTGTTTACTAAAAATTATGGCGATTATTCGTCACGATTCGAATACTAACCGAAGGGGTTTTCAAAATGAGATGAAGCAAGCTATTTAAGTACTGTAATATTAACTCGTACCAAGTATCGGAAATATTGTATGCAGTGATGTAATCAACCATATTTTGTAAAGTACGCAATAGTCATATTAATATTTTATACTCATTTTTGCCCATTTAATAAATTAACATTTTAATATTTTGATGGCACTACCACTATCACTCTACTCTGATATCAACTAAGTGGGATAAATAATTGTCGTAAACCTTGAAAGTAACCGTCGATTGCGATTGGTTTCACCGATTTTTGAAAATAAAACTAACTATACTTAGTTTTCAAACTATACTATACCATACTTAATTAGTCACCAACATGAACTAGGCACGAAAAAAAACCTTCCAAATTTAAAATGGGATGTCAAGTATGTTAGTGTGGTGGTGCCATAAAAATACTAAAATGTTAACTATTAAATGGGTAAAAAATGAGGATAAAATATTAATATGACTATTGCGTACTTTACAAAATACGGTAAATTACCTCACTGCATACAATATTTCCGATACTTGGTACGAATTAATATTACTTAAATAACAGGCTCCTTCTCCTTTTGAAACCCCATTTGGTTAATATTCTAATCGTGATGAATAAACGCCATCTTTTTAGTAAAGACAACCAAAATGTGTATATTCAAATTTGTAAATTGTAAATTTAAAATTCCCATGCT